CATACCTAAACCACTCAAGATTACACGATTCTCTTTCTTGAGCAATTCAAAAGTGTGTAAAGGAACAACACCAGCAGCCCCTGCAATTCCAAAGTTGACGAAGAAAAACCCAGCACTTAAAGTACTTATATCATTTGAAAGAAATGCAGGGTAAATGAATGCTCCACTTGTCAACATGCATACAATAATGCATAATCTTCTTCCTAATAATTCAGTCATTTGACCAAAAAAAATTCCTCCTGCCACAGCTCCCAAATTACATACTACCATAGTAACTGTCTTTCTATCTGACCCAATATTGTGCTGTTTTACTAAGAAAGTTGGATACAAATCTGCTGATCCATGAGATGTAAAATGGATTCCTGCTGCAAACAAGACCAAGTAAACAAACATAAGTCCTTCGGTTTTGATCACAGAAAGCACGCTTTGTTTAATTTTTTTTGATTTCAATTGTTCAATGTCATATTTTGCTTCTAATTGACGCTGAGTTTTTAACCTCAAAAAGTGTTCAGACTCTGGAAAGAACACTCTCCAGATAATTACAATAACTGGCAACCCTGCACTAAACCAAAATAACGCTCTCCACCCTTCGCCTGGTTTGTATGTATCTTCAAAGGCTCTGAAAAATATAACAGCAAGAGCATATCCAAAATTGTAGGCAGGCAAAAATAAACCTGATAAAATTGATCTTGCTCTAATGGGCTGGTTTTCTATAGCTGTTGCTGCGGCGTTGCCATACATACCACCCATAGCAATACCAAATAAAGCTCGGACTGCTAAAAATTCTTTGTATGTTTTTACAAAACCAGTACCAATTTCCAATACAACAAATATAGCTAAGTTTATGATAAATGGCCATTTTCTTCCATAATAATCAGAAGCTACACCAAAGATAAGTGCACCAACTGATCTCAACATTAAAACTAAAGTCATCCCCCAAGTTATGTCAACTATATCAACTCCTAAGGTAGCAGCAATTTCGGGAGCAGCAGCAGAAACGCAGAAAAAATCTATAGCATCTATAATCCAGGCTGTCCAGCCGAGAAAATAATAGTTCCAATCACTGAAGGTCATTTCCTTCAAACCAGGAATAGGATTTAAGATCTGCCATACTTTTTTGTCTGTCTTCACCAAAGGTATATCAAATAAAGTAGTAGATCGCGTTTTGAAGTAATGTATAATATTACTTTTAGTTAAATCTGGTGATCCATCCTCTTTAGAAAAGTTCATTTTTGCTTTGATGTAGATATCAACAGTATTCGTAATATTGAAAAGCTAACTCGTGAGAGTTCATTCTGAATATTTATAGAAGATATATCTTGACTGTATTTTGTGGGGTTTTTAAAGGCTTTAGCCTTTCGGTGAGACGTTGCGATAGCTGAGATAATCGTAAATTTATTTAAATTCAAGTTAACTCAAGTGAAATACATGGTTTGCTAGAAAAATTCTCAAACGAACCTTGAGGGGAGTTAGAAGATGAGTGAAAAATTTAGACAGAACGGATAACTACTCCGTATAATACTACACCGTTGAAATAATTTTATTGTAGCTGGCGGGAAGAGTGGAGATCATGCATTATTTCTTGGACAAATTCTTGTACCTATAACTCAAATTTAATGCGACCTCAAGGCTAGCAAGGAACTTTTTTTTATGCAGAAAGCTAATTAAAACGGAATTGTTAAATATTCTTGAACCGGACTGAAATCCCGACAGGAATATACAGCAGGTAATTAACCAGCCAGTAAAATGTTTACCAAGCAACTATTTCTCTCATTTTCAAATTGGTTCTTTTTATTTTATTAAAATAATCAAACCCCAGAAGATATATAAGATAATCCCACACTTCAGTAGACAAAAGAATGAGATTTGGATATTTGAGAAAATGAAGCAAGGTTTATAACAAAACTTAATTTTGCGCTTTTATTAATTCCAAGCTAATCCACTACATATGGTAAAGTGGTAATATTGAGTTCTAGTAGATATGATTTGGTGCTTCTAATGTATATATATATAGGTACGTGTTTTGAATGTGCATTTACGCATCTTAAACTTTATATCAATAATCATGGTCTAGCACCTCGCAAAATATGATAATAAACATATGCGTATCCTTTATCCAATTTACTGGTATAAATTGGGCGTAAAGACTGAGATTTTTATCTAAATTTATCTCTGAAATTTCCGAATTCGATGGGGGGCTTTGTGATGTCCAGGAACGCCGCTCATCTCCTACAATCACCGCTACAAACGCTTATCGCCGCACATGTAGTTTTAATATTGATTTAGTGCTAGACATATAAATCGAATTAAGTATTAGCATATCAATTTCATTATTTATTCAGACAAATAATAATACCATACTACGTGCTACTGTGATATTTCAGGTATAATGCTAAAGAAAGAATTAAAAGTCAGGGAATATTCACACATTCAATGGAAAGCTTATAGATATTCTCCTTCGTTTGAAGCAGCAGTATCATTCGTAGTTTTGTTTGGACTAACAACATTGTACTTGATATTTCAGCTACTCAGGGCAACTTCAAGCACTCAAGTCAATAAAAGACATAGAGGTATCATATGGACCATAATTCCTCTTATTATGGGTGGATTATTTGAAACTTTTGGTTATGGTGTCAAACTTATTTCAAGCCTTGATTATACAAAAAATAAGGCCTATGTTGCTGAAATACTTTTTTTCTTAATTTCCCTGTCCTTATACACCATTACATTTTATATGTCGTTGGGGTTATTAATGAAACGCTTAGAATTTCGAAAGCTTTTCTTTATATCGACTGGAAATTTAATTATTATATTTGTTATAGGTGATATACTATCCTGCCTTATACAACTTGTTGGGAGACTCATTATAGTGTTTCGATCACTATCTATTGGTAAAAACATAAATATCAGCGGTATGATTATTCAAATAATTTTTCTTAGCTTCTTCATACTCGTTGCATTAGCATTTCACTATAAAGCTGCAAAATATCCAAATGAATACATCATGATTATCAGAAACGTTCCGTCGCAATTTAATAATTGGAATTCAATCTTATTGGTAATCTTATCGTGTTCCACATTGCTACTTATGAAGTATATATTCAGATTAATTGAAGCTCTTCAAGGTGTAAATGGTTATTTAAGTTCTTATGAAATATTTCTGTATTGCTTTGACACCGCCGTAATGTTCATAAGTACGGCTCTTTTTATTTCGCAAAACATTGGAAAATATCACCTCCAATTTGAGACTTACTTTTGCAATGATTCAAGCGAAGAGTCAGTTGTAAAAATTATTCATACAGATTACTTTTCTTTGTAATATATATCATTATCACACGTAAAGGTATTGCGGCCAAAAAGATGCACAATATGCACTCTTTTTATTTACTACATAAAAATGTAATTTAAATATTAATAGAATGTTTAATTTTTTAAGATTGATATGTCATTTGAACAAAAAAATAAGAGAAGTCGACCTATCTTAGTCTGTAATAATTGTCATAAAAAGAAGAAAAAGTGCGACCGTAATCTTCCGTGTGCAAATTGCATTAAGTTAAATATTGATAGCACCTGTGCTTATAGTAACAATAATGATATTAGCCGAACAAGAAAGGAAAAAAACCTTACGAAATCAAAAAGTAGTATAGAAAATGAAGATATTTTAACCTTTAATCCATCAGTTTCTCAGAAAATTGAAAAACTCAATAACAAAATTAAAGACCTAGAAGCTTCGATAGCCATAGCCACTTTACGAAATAACAATACTTCTAATACTAGCACTGACGGTGAAATCAAAAATCTGAATGGCTCCAGCGTTCTGGGGTTGCTAGCAGTTGAACCTACAGATGGTTTCGAAAACTCATTACTCTGTATTGGTAAAAATCCAGTGGATTCAGAGGACCAAACAATCAATTTTCTTGCCACATTTCATGGTACCTCTGATGGTAGAGTGAGAGCTCAAACATCTCCTCTTGGGCCCTTACGCTTTCTTGTTTTGCTGAGGGAAGACCCTTGTGGAATTATGACGTGGAAATTTCTAGTAGCACACGCCCTGAAGAAGTTGTCTTTAGAAGAATCAAAAGGAGAAGCTTCATCTTTACCGAATCAAACATTGGAAAATAAATCTCGTAATTTTTACGGTAGAAGTTATATCAAAAAGATTGAGAAGGGCAATTCTATATCCGACATTATTGAAATGAAGAGCGCTATATCTAACTTTGGATTAAATCTAGGAATAAGTCTTTATCCAGGATCTGAGTTATGGAATGATACCTGTTTAGCTGATCAGATCAAACATATTTTACCAAGCAGAAAAATAATTTGGCTACTTGTTAATCGTTTTTTTGACTGCCTATATCCATTTTTCCCGATACTAGATGAGAATACTTTTAGATCTTGCATAACCCGAATCATTGGAGAAGATGTTGAAAGACATGAAGAAAAAGGTGTTGAAACTGTAAAATTGGGAAATATGAAAGACATATTTCTTTCAGCAATTCTATTGATCGTTCTAAGATTAAGTTATTTATCATTATTAGGTAACAATGCAAAAAAAAATGAATTCAGGTTGAACTCAGAAGAAATGAAGTTGGATTCTGAAAGCCAAATATTGTTGAATAATCCTATCCCTTTAGAAACCTTAAGTATAGTAGAATTATGCATTAACGAATTTGGATGCATTAAGGAGCCGACTTTGGAACTTTTTCAAGCATTGGCTATCATTCAAATTTATAGGACATACGCACCAGAGGAAGATACCTTTGGCAGGTTCGAATCTGCAATTAGTATTGGAAACTTATATCAAATGGCCAATTCATTATTTTTGAATCGAGATCCAGATTGTCTTTTGTACCTTTACGAAAGCAATGTCAACGAAGAAACAAAAATGTTGAGAAGAAGATTATGGTATTATCTTATTAATGCGGATATTGAAGATTCTATAGTTTACGGTACTCCTATTCATACATCTGAGTCTGATTTTGATACAAAAACTCCTTATATTCCGGAAGGTGCTCAAAATACTTTTGATTTAGATAAGGAACGTCTATTTATATTGAATGTAAATGAGTTGAACCCTATAATAACTGCTGTTCATAAAATTCTTCAAAAGATTTACAAGGTCAAATCAGATATGAAAATTTTTTCTTTGGCTGAATGTTTATCTGATTTTGAACTTTTGGTGCAAAATAGTCTAGGGCATTTAAATGAGTACTTAGTTGCCGAGACTGAATTTGACTATAATAAGACATTAAAAATACAGAAATTCAGATTATATATATATTGCAAAATAATGTTGCTGTATATTTATTATGGATTTTATTTATATTATGAGAAAAGGAAAATGTTTAAATTCAGTTTGTTTTACTTGAAGAAACTGATAGCAATTATTTTCTACGAAATGGCAGGTATTTCGAAGGAATTTTTATATTCAGCTGACGAATACTTTGGACGTGCCTTTGCTTTAACAGCCACTCCTATTCTTCAAGTATTTAATAGAATGGAAGCTGTGCTAATTCAATTTCAAATTAGAATTAATTGTACCCTGCGGATGATAAAAAACAAATTACTTGCCAACAAAATAATAAGCTCGGTACACAAGGATCTATACCTTCAACGCCTAAATAATATATGTGATCTCTTAAAAACATTTGAAGCTAAAAACGGTCAATTTATATCGAGTTTGAGCAGTCGGTATTACTATTCATGGAAAGTAAAATCACTTTTTAATGGTTCAAATATTTTATTTGGTGGCATAATAAGCCTTTTAGATGAATCGATTACTAATGAAGCAGCCTTAAATTTTTCTTTGAATGAACTAGGTGATTTAGAAAGTTTGTTAAGCATTTGTCTTGATCTTAAAGCTCAAGCTAATAATAAACATTCAAAAAATATGAGCTCTCATAAAAATTTCAATGAATATAAAGAATTATCTGATCCTGAAAAAAAGTTAATGAATGATGCACAAATTGACAGGCTCTGGAAATATATAGAAATATACAGACAGGAATTGAATAGTTCTTTTAAAAAGAATGTCTTCGCCAGAATTGGGGGGAAAGTGTCCTCCGTTAATCAAATGTCTTTAGCTGACGACTCTGGATTAATAGGTAACATTCATACCGATGTGCTTCATGAGGACTTTATATATAGAAATCTCTTAAGTGATGATTTCTTCTTTGACAATAATTTTAATGCAATAAGTTAACGTCATAGCTAGAAAGTATTGACTCATTTCAAGCATATCATTCATATGTAGATAGACATAGTAGAATTTGGTTGATCATGCGGCTGAACATATGAATATACAAATCTCTACCTGAGAACTTTTTAGCAGTTTCCTATGCATGAGAGAGGCACACGCATTCCGAAATGCATGCATTTTCGATGAAAAAATTGCTGTTTACTGCGCACCAAAAATGTTAAAAGAATTTAAGTCCATTTAAGTCCATTCAAGTCCGTTAATCGCCTTTAATCACCGTTTGTAATTGTCTAAAGAGGCCCAGCCGTATGATATATAAAATGGTTCCGTTATCACTAATATTAGATACATTGATTTTGACATTAATCACTTACTATTAACTAAAACCTAGTGTCTAAGCATACTATTAATATTTGAACAGAAAAGATGGTTAATAAATTAGAAATCAGAGATCAATCGTGGAAGGCCTATAACTATACACCTTCAAAGGCAGCAGCAGCAGTTTTTGTTGTGTTATTTGGATTGATAACAATTTTTCAAGCTTACCAAATTGTGAAGACGATGACTTCAAAAAATTATTCTAGAAAAGAAAAGCATGTGCTATGGATTATGCTTCCTTTTTTATTAGGAGGAATCTTTGAAATTATTGGATATATTGGAAGACTCATTTCCAGCTCCGATGTCAATTCCCTTGGACCATATATTATCCAATCTGTTCTTGTGTTAGTTGCACCTGCATTATTTGCCGCTACCCTCTACATGTCCCTTGGAAGGTTAATTGCACGTTTGGAATGTCAAAGATACTCAATTATCCCATTGAAGTATTTAACAAAGATCTTTGTGATTGGTGATGTGGTGTCCTTCTTCATGCAGGCAGGTGGAGGAGGTATTATGGCCTCAGGTAAAACAGAGTCATCCATGACAACTGGAAAGAACGTAATTGTTGGCGGTTTGATAGTCCAGATAGTTTTCTTTGGCATGTTTATGGTTGTTGAGCTGATCTTTCATTATAGGATTCTCAAGCATCCAAACGAATGTGCTATGATGACCAGAAACGTTCCTTCACAATTCAATAACTGGAATTCCGTATTATTTACTCTTTTAGCATGCTCAATACTTATATTCATAAGATCTATATTCAGGTTGATTGAATATATTCAAGGAAATGATGGGTATCTTATTTCGCATGAAGCATTTCTTTATGGTTTTGATGCAGCGCTCATGTTCTTGAATATGGTGATCTTCACTTCGCAAGATATTGGAAAATATTATGTCTCATTTCAAGTAATTAAGTCCAATAGCGCTGAGGGTGATAACTATAGCCCTAATCCCACTGTAACTGACAAGGAGTCAATTATCGGAGAAACAAAATTTAATTAAGGCATACATAAATATATATTTTCAGCAGTTGAGATCTCTCCCCTGTAATTTTTAAACGCAATGCGAAATAAAATAAATGATTAAATTACAGTATTCCCTTTTGTATTTACAGTATTGTAAGCGGTTAAGGAATGGTTAAGGAATGGTTTAGAACCAATACTGAATCTTCCTTTGAAGAACATTTGGTGTGTATATACCCAGACTTAATTGAATAATTATTGCTTTTAAAGTGTAACTTTAATTTTTTACAATTTTACAATTCTTTTCTTTTCTTTTCACTGAAACAAGTCATCAACTGTATGTCATCCGAAAGGAATAAGAGACGAGCGAGACAGATTCTTGTTTGTGGTAACTGCCACAAGAAAAAGAGAAAATGTGATAGAAATCTCCCTTGCTCAAGTTGTAAAAAACTAAGCATTGATGCCACTTGTTCTTATAGCACCATGTCTAATAAAAAGCAACATTTACACGATGACCAACGCTTTACTTCAGAAACTCATAAACCTTTAAGAAACATATCAGGTGGAGAATATGATAGAGGAGATGAATTGTTATACAGTAAAATAGAAAAATTGAACAATAAGATAAAGGACCTTGAAGCTTCAATAACCATAGCAACATTACAAAACAAGCAGGATTCCGATGGTTTGACTATTCAAAATAGCGTCAATAGGAGTATACAGAAAGGATACATTAACCCAACATCCGAAAGCTTGGGGGATACGAAATCGATAGGGACTGATTTTCGCTTTATAGGTTATAATCCTACTATGTCGGATGAGTGCACAATAAATTTTCTTGATTCTCTAAATAAAGATCCAAGAAGTGAGTTGAAAGCTCCAGTTACCCCATTTGGGCCATTGAAATTTATCATTTTACTGAGGCAAGATCCAGGAGGTATTTTGGTATGGAAATATTTGACTTCTCCTAATAGAATACACTTTTCAATCGAATCAGTATTTAAAAAAAATCCGAAAAATGAAGATTTAGAAAGAAGGTCACGTCAATTTTATGGAGATAAATATATTAAGCGATTAGACAAAACCTATTCAGACACAGATATTATCGAAACAAAAAAAGCTATATCTAATTTTGGTCCGAAGTTGGGAATCTGCTTCCATCCTGTAGTCATTAGTAATAGCACTTGCTTGCTAGAACAAATCAAACAAGTACTACCTGATAGAAGAACTCTTAATATACTAGTCGATATTTTTTTCGAAAACTTGTTTCCATTCTTCCCGATACTTGATGAATCAGCATTTAGAGCTGACATCTTTCGATTAGTTGAAATTAACACTAGTGACAAATCAAATGGGGAAATTAGAGATATTGTACTAGGAAGCAAGCATGACTTAGCTTTTTTGGCAACATTATTGATAACTTTGAGACTAAGTTATTTATCATTGTTTAGTTATCTGATAGAAAAAAATGAAGAGTTTCTAAAGTCGGAGGATAGTTCCTTGAATTCGAAAAATAGACGACTTCTTATGGAGCATCCAATACCTATTGAAGCGATAAATATTGCTGAGCTATGCCTTAAAGAGTTTGATTTAACCACTGAATCGTGCTTGGCACTCTTTCAGTCTTTATGTATTATGCATATTTATCACAAACATGCTCCAGAAGAAGATCCCTCTAATAATCATCAATCGACAATTTCTATTGGAATTTTGTATCAAATGGCTAATTCTTTGTTCTTGAACAGAGATCCTGAATATATATTGCACTTTTCTGAAAGGAAAGCAGATGAAAGGATTGATATGTTAAAGAGAAACTTGTGGTATTACTTGGTTTGTGCCGATATTGATGATTCAATAGTATTCGGATCTGAAATCTACACAGTTGAATCAAATTATGATACCAAAAAGCCTTTCCTAAGTGAGGATTCTTCGAAAATAAGTGAGATCGAGAAACAAACAATCATCGCATTTGATAAGTTGTACCCCGTTTTAATGTCTGCTCATGGAATTTTAGCACTTATATTTAGAGTTAAATCTGAAATGAAATTTTCTGATTTAGCTCAAAGATTAACTGATTTTGAAATTTTAGTCGAAAAAACCCTTGGAAATATGGGTACATATCTAGTGTCTAATAATTGTTATCCAGAGTTTTTCAAGATTCAGAAATTCAAGTTATATTTGTATTGCAAATTGATGTTGCTGTATATTTATTATTGTTTTTTTCTATATTTTGAAAATAGGAATGTTCAATTGAATATTTTTTATTTGAAGAAACTGTGGACTATTGTATATGACGAATTGGGTTATAGCTGTGATAATTTTTTGTATTATTTTGAAGGCCTCTTTGGGTCAGGCTTTGTTCTAATTGTTACTCCAATTTTTGAATATTTGACCCGTATGCGAATGCTATTTTGTCAATTTCGAGTTAGGCTTACCAGTACTCTTCGATCTATAAGCATGCATACGTTTAACAAAAGCCTAGTTAAAAATTCCCTGATTAAACTCTATTCCAAATCGCTAAATGCTTTGATTAATATTATTAGTGAATTAGAAATGAGCAGTGAAAGCACAATGTCAAATTTAAGTGACAGGTATTTTTATGCATGGAAAAGTTTCCAGTCATATAGGTATGGTCGGAATATTTTAGATGATCATACTCTATATGAAATTGATGAAGAGAGTAGTTCAAATGCTAATTTAAAGTATTCTTTAGATGAATTACAACAATTAGAAAACCTACTCAGACATGTTCTAGGTCTGATGAACTACAAATCATCAGGCTTGATTAATGGTAGGAATGGTTATGGTATCCATACTAGGAAAATAGAAGAGTGCATGCTTTATGATCATCAAATTGATAAATTATGGTTTCTGTATGATTTGATGAGACAGGAATCTTTATCTTCTCGAAATGGAGTTTCTAAATATAATAAAAGAAAAAACTTATCTTTTATGGAAAATGCTCACACCAATGACGCTAATACTAGAGTGACTAATGAGTTTGATAATCATATATTACACGATAACATATTCGGAAATTTTGCAATTGATGACTTTTTCTCTGATAATCCTTTCAGCCTCATAAGCTAATCTAATTATAAAATATATACTAAGAATAATAGATTGACATGGATAGTTTTATAATACATTACTATTTATTTTGCAGCGCTTAGTCATTTTCTTTACTCTACATAATTTTATTGAAGATATGTAGCACCTCATACATATAACCAACTTTTCAAAGCTTCTTGGTATACGGTTTCGGATTTATGCACTGAATACACACCCAATTCCATTGAAAACTATACAGCTTTCTGGGTATATGCTTAAATCGGTGCAGAAATTCTAATTACAAGATTTTACATCAAGAATTTTGTAATAAGTATAATGTTGTCTGCACTATCAAATAAAGGGATTCATTTTATTTTGTCAAGATAAATGCCAAATAAGCTATTTATCTGATGCAACATAGTAATTTTTTGTTTTGACTACACCCCAAAAGATAATTTTAAATATGAATTTATTCAAATCCCCAAACCCACCCTCTCAAATCTCGATAATTGATAATTGGTTGTGATTAATATTAGATAATTGATGCACATGTGAATAGTGACGAGATAAATATAAAGTTTAAGCAATACTCCTTTCATGCCTCTAAATTGTTGAATGTCTTTATTTTTACCTGCGCATTCATTTCAGGCTCTTATCCACATTTCCAAGATTTGATACCAAATTTGAATCCTTTCCAAACTATATTCTCTCTATATATAAACCTTTCATAAGCATATCTATCCAATCATAGAATACTTCTGCGTACTTGAAATGGTAAAAAATTGCAAAAAAAGTTAAATAGCTGCTTACTTGAAGAATTCAAGTCACTTCAGTTATTAAGTCAGATAACCAATTCTGTTCTTGTATCTTGGTATCCAATATTCTCAATTGCTGTGCTAGCTTATCAAGCAAATGCTGATAATCCTTTACTTTAACAGTTGATACAAATTTAATTTCACTTCTTGAGTACATGTCTCTTTTAATCACACCCTTCTTGGTAGTGTTTCTTATTACTTCGATATTTCTTATATATTGATCCCTTTCTGCTAACGCTTGAGTCATAGATTTTGGCTCTTCATGGTTCCCGAAAAGAAACTTGATTTGTGTGTTTGACAAATTAATATTACATATTAGGTTAGATAACTCAGAGGATAGACTCATGTATTGTTCAATTAACTCATTTGGGTTTTCTGCTGGTTCATCACCTTCTTGAACCGAGCAATTGTCATTTATACGAGATTCTAACTGTCTCAATCTAGATAAATAATCTTTTCTTATCCTTAACGCCTCTGCAAGTTTCATGGAAATTTATATTTAAATTTAAATAAAACTCGAAATAAATTTAAATTTTATGAAAAAATTAAAAAAAGTGTAAATTTGGATGCTATTTATAGTTGTTTCTCCCTCAGAATAAGTCATTATATTCTAGAAAATGTGAGATAGCAATTATTTTTGTCACTAAGGGGCTACTTCTTATTTCGCTACCTTGTTTTTAAACTATAAGGAGGTACTACTAGAGGCTACCACGACATATTAGTTTTGAAAAATATTACATCATTGAGTCAAACAATTTAAAAAAGCCTTAGTAGTTAAATTAATAAAAAATTCGTAAACATATAGAGAAGTATTGCAAATCTAAAGCATTTCACGTAGAAAAAGTAACACATGTTTCAATAATTAATGCTTAAATCTATATACTATTCAAAAAGATACAGCTTTAACAACCAAGACATCGAACCCTTCAGTTTCGCTTAGATCAATTAATTGATTAACGGAATCTGAAAACATTTCATCTGTTTCATCCCTAGCCAAATTATTAGGAACTACAAACATCTCATTGCTCGAACGAGTGCTTGCCCTCAAGACGTCCTCATTTATGTTGTTTTCTTTAGTATAGTGAATTGACAAATGCGCCTTTGTATTGTGCAGAAAAAGGGACCTGATTTTTTCTTCAAACCCAGAAGACAGTGATGAGGACGTATTTATGAAAATATTAACCGATAATAGATTAAATGCCAATTTATAGACAACATGTAAGGCCAACAAATCACTCGCACTCAAAAAGTTATCATGATGTAAAACAAGATTAACTGAGTCAATACCAAAGATTGATCGTGGTTCTTCATTCTCAAAAAAGTTCGATATGCATACCTTATCTTCAATAATTTCCTTTGAAGTAAGCTTATTATTTGCATTGGTTACAAATAAACCAAAATGAGAAGCACATGAATGAAAAAACTTGCCATATAACGCACGTTCTGAATCTTCGTAGCTAAAATTACTGCTATTAGAAATATTTCTAGCTAATTCGTTTTTATTAATAGTGCAAATTAGCAATTCAGAAGCCTCAGAGATCTGGTCATTAATAGTGAAAATATGATTTTTATATGTGGACAATACTGATCTCGATGTGAAATGATTCCCTAATAGTTCATTAAACATCTTCATAATTGTTAGTATAGAAGAAGATTTATGAAGTTCGTTTTCATTGAAATTAGTAATGGAATCTTCTTGATAACTGTTTTGATATGAAGCTTCCAATAAATGTGATGTCCTTGACGTAAATTCTCTCAAATGTACTGCCTTTATATCAATACTATAATTCTTCTCTGAATTATCACTCAACATCGATATATCATGGGTGAATGACATTAAATGTGAGATGGAATGTATATCTCTTAATAACAAGACTAATTTTGAAATACGAAATTTGTCCAATTGATCAATATCAATATTTTCTAATGAATGAACCTCTTGTAAATCTTTTCCGGATGCAAGAAGTCCTGAATCTGACGAACCTTCTTTTATTATTGGAGTACCATCTAAGGATGCTTCACCTTTCAAGAATTTTTCAACTCGAAGTCTGTATTCAACAGGATATACTAGCAAAGTCAAAGGAGTAGTCAAAAAGGTAGTAACTAACGTCATAACAATAAACATTGAGTATACCCTTTGCGTAATGATTCCAGCATTCAATCCTACGGTTAAAACAACAATTTCAACAATTCCCTTACATGACATCAAAACTCCGACCGCTAATGACTCACGCCAAAGTAATCTATTAAGCTTTCCAGCAATAAACCCTCCAAATATCTTGCCCACCATTGCTAACAAAATTATACCTATTGTATATGCCCAATCAATACCTCTGTTCAATAATCCTATATTCACATTTAATCCAGCTAAAGCGAAATAAATAGGAATTAAAACAATGTGTACTAAATCTTCTAATTTCTCCGTAATTTTTATCACATATCCATTTGTCCTAGGTACAATAATACCTACCATAAATGCTCCAAATATGGGATGTACACCAATAATATCAGTGAAAAACGCTGATATAAATACTGTTGTTAAAATAAATAACATCAGAATTTGTGAAGGTTCTCCTGAAATCAAGTCATTTGTAAATCTCCGTAAACAAAATTTCATAGCCAATCTAACTGGAAAACATAAAAATAAAAACCACGCTACCGTCAAAAGCAAAATATAAACTGTATTTACAGCATTTGAAGCATTGGCTAAAGTAACTACTAGTGCTAATAAGATCCATCCTGTCAAATCATTTGTAATTCCCGCAGCTAACACAATTGTGCCCACTCTATCAGTTATTAAATTCAATTCTGTTAAAATACGGGCCAAAACGGGAAAGGCTGTAATACACATAGCCACTGCAATAAATACCATATACGTAGTGAACTCTATTGGTTGTAGTTCAGTAGAATCCATTCTATACGTAGTATAGATACCCTTTGCAATACCACATCCCAAGGCAAACGGGATAGCCATATTGATTATCCCAACACTAACCGCCACCTTCATATTCTTCTTGATAAACGAAATATCCACTTCTAGCCCGATAATAAATAAAAATAAAATAATTCCTATATTAGCCATTAACGTCAACCCAGGAATAGATTCCTCTGGAAAACAATGCTTCGTAAAGTTTGGAATGTGTCCCATCACCGATGGTCCTAGGATTATCCCCGTAACAACCTCAGCGATAACCTTGGGCTGTTGTAACCTACGAATTGGATAGTATATTAATTGGCATAATAATATAATTAAGACTGCTTGGAAAAGAAAAACTGTATACGGTGATGATTTCAGGTATTCTAATGGATTTCTGTGGGCTACTATGCCTGCAACTGTATGGGTTTCGACTGCCATTGCACCTTTGCCTATCCTTTGTGATAATTCTTGCTAAAGAGTAATCAGATTATATTTTGAAACTATATTATTATTATAATATTCGGCTGTGTAAAATCTCGTTGCGTATTACAACTATATTTATCTTAGCGCAGGTCATCGTTAATTTATCTTATATACATTTTACGCGCGGTCTCCCTTCGTATATTCTAGGGACATAGAAGAATGAAGACAATGGAAGGAATACTAAAATTGGCAATGAGGGGAGCCTATGTACTGTCGGATGCCATGCCAAATGGAATATTAGAGATGCAAAATGACCGTAGGCAAGATATTGGAAGAGAAAGGAACCAGTAAGAGAAGTAGAATTATATATAAGCGTATGAAAGTATCTATAGGTTTATTGGAAGAACATATATTGCACTATAATGTATTCGATTCTTAATAAACCAAGCAGATTTAGCACAATTGTGACATTCAGCTATTTGGTAGTAGGAGCAACATATCCTTTCCTATTATCATATAAAGGATCCATCAACACCCCAATAACAAGGAAAGGAGTGGCTAATATCAGGGTATTATTCACCAAGATATAATATTACAGTTTATGGTTATTTCATAGTGCTTTCTGTCGTGGGAAGTCAAAACATATTCAGATTGGTCATATTATGGCCGAAGGGAGCTTCAATATATCAGATAGACTTACGAGTATTGCGAAAATCTGCTCCACTGCCGACGGGTGATTTAAAAACTGGATGCCCATACTAGGTTGTACGTCAGTTTTATAATTATGGCTTAAATTTGTTCTGTATTCGCATTTCTAATAGTTAGTACATCTAATCGATAAGGATTGTTTATGTTAATATTAGGAAATTTATAAAATTTGGAACGTCACTGTTTTTAAGAATATTGCATCTTAATATAAAGGATGTATCGGTTGAATAATTCTTCAAATCCTACTGAGCTAACTGATATTTCGCTAATATCCTATAAACAGATCAAAAATATAACCAACAGAAAATTAAAAAAAGTTGCTTTTGCGATCTATGTAATATATTTCAAGCATTTCCCATTTGAGACCATTGAAAATCTAAGATTAATTATCTTGCTCTACCTGACTCTTTAAAGCTCGATTAAGTTCATTAAAGCCCGTTTCCGTTTTATCCTTCAAGCCCGTCCATTCAAAAACATAAGATAAAATTCCACTGAAATTTTCGGACTGAGCTAGTTTTGTTTTGGTTTGGCCATCTATATCTAATGGAATAAATTCAAAAGAGTGTATACCGACAAACAAAAAATCAAAAAGCAATTTACCTTTCCATTTGAAAGATCCCGGGTTATTCTCCAACACAATTGGATACATTATGTTTTCATTTCCACCATTTAGTTTCATTTTAATTTCTAATTGAGTTCCCGGCTGGGGACTCTTTGAACCAGGAGTGTAAATTTTGATGTCAGTGAAAAATGGATTCCATTGGGAGTGTTTCTTGAAATCCAAGAAAACTTCTCTCACCTTCTCTGGTTTGGCATCGATGATTATGGTTGTATTCAATAGCATTTTTGGTTATACTTTAATCTATTATTATCGTTTGTTGCGTTGAGATAATTGCTGCTTATATATGTGTCATTTTAACTCCGTCTGCGGGCTGTATGATGACAAATAATGCACGCCGTAAAAAAATAATAGAGAGCATTATGTCAACATGACATATATCTCTGCACAAATCGGCCTTGTTGAGAAGATTTTACCTTCTCAGCCACCCAATTTCAAAAAAATACGATCTTAAGAACGGATAATTTTATATCTATCTGAATTATAAGAATCTTTTATATAACGACACGTATAATTATCTAAAGAATTTTATCATTTACTTAAACTATTTAGTCATTAAATTTACCAATTGGACGGTTTGTAACATTTTCCATGGACCCCCATATAATTCGCTACGATTTTTTCCTTCTTAGTATAATTTTTTCTTTATATCATTCTAAAATGGGAATTAGAGCACGTCATACGTGAAATCTTACTCGTTTTAATGCTTATTTATATCCGAAGCTTCCATTGAAAATTAAGTTCCATAGAGGACTATTTATTTACTCTCAAAGTTCATTTGATTGGTTGCCAAGAATGAGGTCAAATCTTTTACTTCATAATCATACAGAAAAACAAGCTGATATAGAGAAATATCCTTGTGATCCCTCCAGTGACCAAATCTTGCTAGATTATAGTTTTTAAACCAATGACAATAAAATGTCCAAGTATTTCCTTGATAACCCGTCCGACCTGTTAATATCACACGCAATGAACAATAGTAAAAGAGTAGTTTGCAAGCAAAATATTCTTTTTTATCATTTGCAAGAATATAAAATTCGTCATCTTGTTCCCCAATCCATCCCCATATGAGTTGTTGATTATTCAGAATAATTATTTTGTAGATAATACTTTCAAGTTTCTTTATAGAATCAATGTATATCAACGACTCATGGGGCTGAATTTCATCTCTCTCCTCCAAAATAAGCCTGTATTCTGTAAGCTGTTCTATCAAGGATATTCTATTACAAAATTTAGAATCCAAAACCGTGGTTGTATCCTCCTTAAATAATATTCCAAAACTAGTTTCTTCTAAGTAGGGAACAATGATACTCTTTACATGTTTCATTCCCATGCATATGGATAAAAGGCTAGGTTGTGATATGTCATATGCTATAAGTGGAAGAAACATTGTGTGATGATGCAGCAATAAATTGAATATGATAAGACTTGAAATCAAAATTTCTATTGCTTGTGAAATTGAATGTGGCCCATTTCCGGATTCAATATCATTGATGACATTCATTGTTTTCTTAACGCTATTCAAAAAATACTGAATTGTCTTTCTGTAGAGTACCTTACTCTGATGAAATCCTCTCAATTGATTAGGCTCGAATATAGCTATATGACAGTCAAAAAACTTCATAGCTTGCGGTGATTGAATCAATTTACTACCCTTAATAGATTCATAAAAATCGAGATTATCTAGGTGCATTGTACTTATAGCATAAATACAATTTCGAACTAAATCTGAATGAAACCCTAATCTTTGACTTTCCTTAAACCAGGCATTCATTTTTGGATTTGGATTGGGTTTAAAATCAAATTCACATAGTTTTTGGTAGTAACATATCAACTGATACTCAAATGATGATATTCCGATGAGGCTAGGTATTGAATTGAGTGATTTCTGTGACTGGGATGTACTTAAAGAGTGAAATCTAGCTTCTTGCTCATCATTACTAATAGTACTCCTTGATAGTCTGGGCTGTACATCAGGATATACACACTCGCGATTTCTATGAGCGCAATACTCACATGCTGGTCGTGCTTCATCACACTTGAACTTGTTAGAATATTTATCTCTAATGTTCTAATAACACTCCAATGTATCATGATCACTTAACGTACCTTGATCTTGAGCTTGCGACAATTAAGACATCGGACAGTTCGACGTTTAGTCCTTGTTTTAAATGGATTGATCCCCTCTAGATTATTACTCTTCATCTCTACTGACCTACTACTTTAAAAATACGTTTCTTGAACTCGTACTTCAGTTAACCTGAGTGATAACTTATCTTTGCTTACATAATAATGAATTGTTTATCTGTTTAACAGAATATATAGGCCGTTTGCAAACTAGAAATCGCCTTATACTCATTAAAACTGCCGATACATCTAATATTATATTAAACCAGTAATAATTAATTTGCACAAAAGAGTATGATCACGCTGGTCACTCGAAAGAGAGATCTTGTTACGAGTATGATTTGAAAAATTCTATGAATTTTGAAGTGTCTTAATCAAAGATAGTTCCTCTATGTATGACGTATCAGTATTTGATTTCATCATATTATATTGTAATTTGTACCTGGCTCAATAATTGACCTTATTGTATATAACTGAATTTGATTTCAAAGTAAGAAAAATCGCATCAATTTTACCAGTAACATTTAAAGGCAAAATAATGGAGAATAAATGAAATAGAATCGTTATAACTTAGAAGGATGAAAAACAACACGACCATTAACTTTTCCCTGAGCTAATTTGTTCAAATAATCAGGCAATGAATTAAAAGGAACAGCAGTAGAAACGGGCTTTATTCTTCCCTGTGCCACCCACTTCATGCATTCTACTTGTTCTTGAGACGTGCCGCCAAAGTTGAAATTAATTTTTACCTCCTTTCTAGCCAACTCAAAGTTCCTAACGAATAGTTTAGACCTTCCTAGTCCCACTGTGACAATTCTACCTCTTGCTTTGACATACTCTTGACATACGTCAAAAGTCTCTTGAAACCCACAGAAGTCAAAACAGACATCAAACGATTGCCTTGTATAGTTTGATTCACTAATGTCCAGGTAAAACTCCGTAGCCCCATACTCTTTCGCCAATTTTTTGGCTTCGGGTTTGATATCCACTGCTACGATAGTACAGCCAAAGTTATTAAGAATTTGCAATGCATTAAGACCTAGCCCCCCCCATTCCCATAACCAAGACATGAGCTGTAGGTACTAAATCTTCTCTTGCTTTATTAATAGCATGAAATGGCGTTAAAACAGCATCTGATGCAATTGCAGCTTGCTCATAGGTCACTTCATCTGGAATCGCGATTAACCCCCTCAAATTTTTTATCAATAAGAACTGCTGAAACCCACCGTCTAGAGTCAATCCATATGCTTCTACAGATCGCAAGCAATTGTTGTCAAATCCACTTCTGCAGTTGTCACAGATTCCACAGAAGCTTGCAATTGCGATTGCAACGCGGTCTCCAACCTGATAGTCATCAGGGACACTATCACCACCTATTTCGACGATTCGGCCTGCGATCTCATGTCCCATTACAAGCTCATCTGGAATGTATCCAGGTTGTCCATGTACTATGTGAACATCACTCTGGCACAAACCAGCAGCCATTACTTCAACTAAAACTTCTCCATCGTTTGGTCTTGTAACGGGCCACTTATCATATCTCACCATATTTTTCTCGCCTCTTCTAAAACCGAATGCAACTTGTGTCTCTGGTATCTTCATGTTCTTGTGTGTTGGTTGTATTATTCGAAAAAACTTCGTAATGAGCTGGTTATAAATTTCAACTCAATTTTCATTTTATCCCTATTCTGGTCGGAGAAAATCTATTTTAGCGAGGTATACCGAAATTTAATCTGCGACAGAGTTTAGACTGTCAGATACTTTATCATAACATGTATCTAAATTAGTTTTGATTTGCCTAACGATTAACAATCTAATCTAATCTAAGTTATCTTAGCATGATTACTTTATGTTTTTAAAATTAAGGGATCAATTAGCAACTTAATAACATAAGGAGTGTTACGCTAAATTTAGAATATTGCAATTCTAATGATACGCATTAAGGACCCCGCTTGTTATTACGACTGTTAGCAATGACAGAGATCTTATCGATAATAAAATCTAATTGGATTTTGAGAAAGCAGAAAGAGCTAAAGTCACAAATTCCCTTCGCTTGATTATCTGCTAGAAAGCATTGGGAAAAATGAGAACTTGAAAATATAAAGATTATCGTCAGTATATTTATGTGTGCCTCGTGAGTAAATAAATACTTGGTTCCGCTATTTCTACTATGTTGCAAATGATTTGAATACATTCTACTCAACCAATTATCTATTTGAACCTTACATTATGCGGGGCAGCGAGTGACAAAAAAATCAATAATTTGCTACAGAGATTCTCAAGCTTTGATAGATGTTTACTTTATATATGCGATTTTGCTTAACTATTAAAAGGAATCGACCTAATGACACTACTCTAGAATAACCAAGCATTTCAGACTTTTCAAAATCTAAACACATCCAATCAAAGTAGGCCTTGACTTGGTGCTGGAATGTTGAGAAAGTAAACTTTAAAGTTTTCAATATGAAATCATTATCTTTTCCAGGCCTTTTTAAGTTTATAGCAAGATATATCCAGCTTATTTTCATCAAGAGAGAATCTATTTGCAGAATTATACACAAATTTATCAACATCGTAGAAAATAATTTGACTTCAATTTGTTGAAGGTTACTCATCCTCTCCGATAACATTGGCACGAATACTTTGTTTCCGGTATTTTTAGTAGAGCAGTCTCTTATTCTTTGATTGAAATTCTCTGCTTCGTAGAATCTCTCAAGTCTGACGGCTTTCATGAATTGTACCTCTTTGATAATGATTTTTCAATACAATCTTCTAATACTAGGTTGAACTCGCAAAAATTAAAACTTAAATTTGTTGATCAAGAATATTCGGGATGTCAAAAGAATAATTATTAAAACGCTTATCGTAACAAGAATTTCGACTTTTGGTTATGTCCTACGCATATAGCAATGTCTCGCACATTGACATATCTTTGCATATTTTCTAGAATATTGTCTCAAATGAAGTATTGAAGGCATTTCTTCTTAAACTTTACCTGAATTCGGATAGGCAATCTGACTAAATTCTCGCTTCCTTTTGAAGGCATAAGGATGAACTTCAATTATAAAAATTCTATAATTTTAGCAATTGTCTTTAGCCGAAGTCGGTTGATCAGCATCGTGTCTTTATGTAACAGACAACCCAATTTCATGCTTCAACAGGAAGTAATGTGGAAAAAGGTCGGTAAGAATGTCTACTTCTGGCAAAAGAACGTTTGTTTAAGTTCACTACCAATATTTGCAAAACTTTGTTGGGCAAATGCGACCTTATATGAACCCCGTTAACTTATAAAATCTGGAACTCATGCATTATTTACGATTGGAATAAACAACGATAATATGAGGTAATTGCAAAATTAATTTCTAGAAGGTTGCCCAAAGCTCAATTATGAATTTTATGATTAGTCGCTAGTGAGCAAGTCACAATATTAAAAAGTCGAGATGTCCTTTACTACTTCAAACATTCTCTAACTGTCGGTCAAAAAAGAGCACATCAAATATCTTGCTTTCCAAGTCATCAAATATAGACAATGATTTATTATCCTGATATGAATCACTAGTATAAAGAACCTCTTTTTCATTCATTTCTTCTAAACACATTTCATAGTCCTTCAATGTACTCTTTTCTTTCATTCCACACAAGTAATCTCTCAACTCAATATTAAAGGGTACTCCAAAGTCCAAGCTGTCCCCACTTGACACACTGTCGCACTGAAGAAGAACCATTTTTGCATAGATCAAGCTTTTTCTTATCTTTTTTGGATCACTTTGTTTCACCGTCCGATTAAGATTCATTTTACACATTCTAATGTTGCTTAATAAATAGCTCCTAGCGCGAGATTGGAGTATTATTTTCCTGCTTTCATATAAGAATGAAGCTAAAATCTTGTAGCTTTTGTCAATATAAATGGGTTGGGCATGGATTGTCTCTAAAGCAATAGGAGATCCTTTTAAAAGCATTTTAAATAAATGTGCAGTTGTCGTAATATTCCCCTCAACATTGTACTGCGGTAATCTCAACTTCTCACTAAATATCACATTAGTTAAAAGTTCTCTCTTCATTGGGTTTGTTATAACAGTTAAATCATAGTCTGATCCATCGTCATTTAAGCCACGCATTCGTGATCCTCTTAAGTAGACCGCTAATACTTTGCGGTTAATTAGCTCCTCTGTGTCTCTAACTACTTGTTCTATTACTTCCATACTTTGGTTTCATGATACTTCGGTTTTTAATTCGATTGGCTAGTGATGGTAGTCGTTAAAGTGTATATCAATTTGTTAAACTTGATCTAGATAAGAGTATTGGTTCATTCAGTCCTTATCGGCATTTACTGCAAAGTAAATTTACTGGCGAATATGTGTATGAGTATTATAGTTTCGATACATGATACACATATTCTACCTGATTTCTTCCCTTATCAAAATTTTAGGGTTACCCTTCCTTAAACTTTATATTGATTATATAATGAGATTTGACATTTTATTATCTAAGCACATTCGAATTTCAAATGCATAGAACCCATCAGAAGAGTAGAACATAAGCTTAAATATGATATTTGTAGTTAATTGAGTTCTACAGAGTATGAGAAGTGTTGAAAACAATCAAAAGGAAGTTTATACACGTTGAATTGATTAAGGACGAAATACTAGTTCCGCTTTTTTTCCAATCTTTTCGAAATTTCCGTTTGTACTTCCTGTTGTGTCATATAATCCCAATTTGGACACTCCTGCTTCCAACCTCTTTCGTTCATTAATCGATCAACAATATTTAAAAAATATCGATGCTTATAACGGATAAGGGCTTCCTACGATTTCTTTATAAACTTTGGTCAGAGCAGTACATAAACAAGCTTCTGATTATGTCCCCTCCCCGATAGACTAGTAGATCCAACTTTTTTTGATTACTTGTCCATATTTGTATGCCCAATAGAACTTAGCGGCTAACTAGTAATTAATATTGCAGTACTCTATCAAACAATTTTTCCGAAGTTAATAAGGCCATTCTTATTAATCCTAGCTTGTCTTTTTTTACTTCATAAAGCTATATGTTATTATACTTAGAAATTTCAGTAAGGTCAACTCCCACTTGCTAGACCTTGATAAATAACGTGGTTACACTCATATCAAGGAATATATATCACTACTTGACGTTTTATACATTAAAAACCTTGGATTTAAATTAAACCAAGCTCATAAATAATTCTCCCTAAATATATTCATCTATACAACTAATAGAAATTTCCTAGTTGCGGAAAGTGCATTTCATTGTGACTGAAAATTATCAAATTTCTCCTATTTGTTCCATGTAAAATAACGGAAGTTGAATCCAAGATAAACCTTACAATTAAAGCTTAAAAAAAGCATCTCGCTCTATTTTCGCAGCCTCTTTTGATTTTGGAAATATATATGATAAGTTTATCTACCAGAAGGTATCTCTACGATTGGGAGTCTGTCCCTCAAACTTATATTAAGAACTTACTATACACTGCAACTGTGTGCAAACTGTTCAGCAACATACAAAAGTATAATTTGTTTTTTATCGATTTTTTTTGAACCTACTGAAACAAAACGAACAAAAAAGAATAATAATTAAAAAAACTCACAACTTTTCTATTGCCACATTTGAAGATTCCTTCTGGGAGGAATGTTGAAAATATTTGTTTAACCATCAAAAGAAATGAAATGTAGATTATCATGCGTCTCGTTAGCGATTCACAGCTTTATCATATATGAAATTTCAACAAGCCCATATAAAAGCTGAAAGAATTGATTTTTCTTCTTGGAGAGTAGTTTCTTCCTTAGACAACTAACTGATCAATTAACGTTATGTGAAAATTACTTTATCTGGAGCATAAAATTTTCTATCCGAATATAATACACGAAGTAAAAAACTTCTTTCCTTCTGTCGCAACCTGCCAAATGAAGGGATAATTATTTTTTCAACGTGCGCGAGACCTCAAGATGTACATTAGTATAACCCGCTTTTCCTTTTGTTAAAATACCCACCCTTCTTTTAAGAAGTCGTCGTTTAAAAAATGGTAACAATTCGCTTCCTGGAACATAAATTGCCGATTCTCACTTATCGTACTATAAGTGTATATAATCCATCTCACACTTAACAGAATTGACTACATCAAAGCTATGTAAATCTGTTCTGCACAACATAACCATTTTTCGTTCATGATTTTTTCATTTAGAGACTACGAAAATTTACATTTAATATTGATGAAGCTTCTGAAACAATTTGCCGATTTTGATGAGAGTATAGTAGGTGTCGCACACTGTTTGCAAGTTAATTGTGGTCCCCTCATTCCATTTTAATATAATAATATAGGTAGAACAGGGCAACTCCTATTTGCTCGCCCCTAGGTTTAAGAAACTCACGAGAAAGCTAGAGATATGTTGGAAATAATAGACTACTATAACATAATACATGGAGATATAAACCGAAGAAATACTCTAGATTCCAATGGAAAAGTATATTTTATTGATTTTGTATTAAGAAGACAGATTAGACTCCAACCCAGTTAGTGTTAATCTTGAGGTAACTAGAAGGGAATACAGACGGTAGTGCAGAATTTTTGGCAGCTCATACCGACGAAATGCAAAGAATTGGATGAGCAGTCAGTGGACAAAAATGTAGCATGATATAGAGTTATATATATTGGGTAAGACAGTATAATCAATAAAAAATAAAATGCATCCTTCTGTATCAAGCAGTCCAAACAATAATGTGGATACTTTGGAATAAGCCGGGAAGTATGCGAATGGCCCTTCTTACCAACCTTCCACCTATCTCGAACGTTCCTGTTTGAGATTGATCAGAATCAGCTTCCGCTTCGACAACCTCAAATTCAAGCAATATTTATTGGATACTAAACGATTGAGATCACTGAAAAGTGGAGTGTTATTTTCTGATAGGGGGTGGTCACCTAGGGTTTTATTTGCTTTGGTTTTAAGAACATATCTTTATTAAGCATTCTTTTGTGGCACCAATAGGATTTTTATTGGGATTTTTTAAGTGTGAAATTGTGGATGACAAAATGACCATAGACTACTTTGTCATCAATGACCCAGAAACTGTTGCGCACGGCATTACTGAGAAGTGCAATAGCGGGATTTTTCTATATGGATGTGGCTGATACATATGGTGCAAAGAGTAAATTAGTAAAATGCTTCGAGGTACCTGGTAAAACAGAAGGGCTGGATTCATTTCCTAGGTGTAGCACAAGGTCCTCAGGGAAACATTCCGGCAACAAGCTTCCGGCAACCTTAGACCCAATCACAAAACATTCTGAAAATCATGATTTTGATGTAATTCGTGGCAAC